TATATATATATACTTAAGTAACTTATAGTATTATAAGCTAAGCTTATAGTAAATTATAAGTTTATATTATAAACTATATTATAAGGCTTATAATATTAATAGGATTAAAGCGTAAGCTGCTTAATAATTTACTAAAAAAGTAGGGGCTACGTAATATAAGCGCTTCTACCTGTTTAGTTATAATAAGTAGCTAGAAGCATTTACATCTCGGAGTCCGCCACTTCTTCTCGATGTCTCTCCCGGTAGAAGTTCCTGAGAACGTCAACGACTGTAAAAGTCAACGTCACAATGCCGACAATCAAGGTGGCCAACTGGTCCCTTTCACTAACTCTGATTCCCAAATCCGGTATCGAAGTGCTGCGGTCTCGGTGAATCATCAACATCGATGGCACAACCAGCATACCCGCGAAAAATATACAGCCTCCTAGAGCTTTCAGAGCTTCAACCACGTTATTGTAGTTCTTCTCGATCATTGACCAAACTAGCATGATGATGCCAGTAAGAAATGTTAGGCCAATGAACGCGGTGAAGAGGTAGATGACGGTTAACATCACTGGTAGCATCGCCTCGTAGAGCGCGATGAAGAAGCTGGTTCCTATATCGCCGAGACTGAAGTGGAATATTGTGAGCATGAGTGAGCTGTAGCCATAAGCTACATTTACTACCCAGCGCGCTGATGGCTTTGGCTTCCAATCCCGTGCATAGTCGGTATCAATCATGAAACCAACGATAAGAATAAGTAGAAACGGTGTTGCGGAATAGCATATGGTCAGCGGCCCGGTGATATCGACGACACGCTGGCCCAATATCACCGTATCGGGCGGAATATGATTCAGGTCGAGCTGCGTGGTATTGAAAGGGCCAAAACAGGTCAAGATTGACCTCTGGATTGCGCAAGCAAAAGATAGCCAGTGCGCGTTGTTTCATCCCCAGCATCCTCATCGATTGCACAACCAAGTCTGTCGCGGCAAATACAGGATATGCCAGAGCTCCTAAGAGATCATTTGAAAGGCCTGGCTTCTTAGGTCCATCTTCGTCTGCTAGACAAAAGGCCCAGCTAGCGAGAACGGAAACGAGAAGCATGTACCAACAGTAGATGGTGCCAGGGCCGTACAGACCTGTCGCGTTGTTGTAGAACTCGGGGTTGTATGGGAAGAGTCGGCCTGTGTCTTGACGGATGAGGCCATCTGTAATTTGTAATTCTGGATGGGAGTAGTTGCACAAAGAACTCATGGTGCATTAGCGAAAAGTAAAGTTATCCGATTGCGTGAATTTCAAGAATATGAATGCCTTTTTCTTCTGCATAAGTGTGCTTTCAACGCCCTGAATGCCTCGTTGGGCTGAGCTGAACTGGGGGGTTGAAAATGCCTTGAAGTTGTTTAGCGCCGTGGCTGTTCAGGGCCCATGCAGCTCAGCGGCATGAGGATGTTGTGAGATGTAGGCTTCAAGCCAAAGACCGTAATCAATATTATTCTCACAGTATGTTCGCTATAGTATATAAGAATTTCCTTCATTACCCAGCTTCAAAAGCTGCTACCTCAGCGGATTAGTTTACTCAACTCAGCTCAGCTGCCACTGATGTCTCGCTTCCACAAACCCTGCTATGCCTGAGCTTCTCACTCAAGCCTCCATAATTTCTGATGTTTCCCGCATTGAACTCAACATCACTCCTGTGCTCCTCGAGAAAAAATTCTGTAGTATTCCTCCTTCGGCCGATTAATATATCATTAATCTTCGAGACGAGCGGTTTGAAAGTAGGGACACACGGACAGACAAGTGCTGAAGTGACCTCTGCCAAAGCCCAGAGCTGCGGCCTGACGATATCTCATGTAATAAACGACCACGTTTCCACCCATTTTATCCGTACGATAGCAAGCGCGATTGAACTTGGCCAAAGGTCAACAAATACTAAATGTGATTTGAGGTATACTAACAAGCATCCGAGTCCAAAGACGGCTGAAAGAGCGATCTTTTGGGATTGACGGAGGTTGAGCCTCCAAATAACCGGCTGTGGCAAGACGGCTATTATGTTGGAATTTCCGCGTGGAATTAACCGCAACGTTAAATGTAGATCCATTCCATGTCGACCCAGGACCACCAACTTTGTTACTTCATCTAGGCTGTCAAGCTTCGGGTTATTGAGGAAAAGCGACAGATGAGGCTCAAAATCTTCAACTCGTATGCCCGAGCACAAATGCTTGCAGTAGGATCCATGCATCCTACGATAATCCATTCATCTTGAACAAAGGATCGTCTATCTGTGAAAGCAATACAGGGTCTTTACATGCAGTATTCTAGCTGCATGCGTTCGAGGACTAACATACAATGTAAGTGATTTGGCCTGATCGTGCTACGTTGTAAAATCGCAATTCGTCACCCTACACCCGATGACAAAACGCAGCCACCGATACTGAATTCGAGACCGAAGCGGTGGAATAATTGCCCGGCCAGTTAGTTAGTCTTTTGGTTCAGCTCCTCCAAAATGGTGTCGGTGGCTGATACCAACCATTGTCTCATTGGCTACGCCTTCACAATGCGAAATACGAGCACTGGGCAGTGTGATCCTCTAGGCATCCGCAATTACAGGGGTCATCATTGAATAAGAATTGACTTGCCACTATGAAGTTCAATCTATATATCAACGGCTTTGGCAACGGTCTATATCAAATTTCATAATTACCAGTCTTTGTTCAACGATCGATAAACATGGCAACTACTACGAAACAAAGATTTCAAACTTTGTTCAACGATGATCCATCAGATGACAACAACAAAATCGAACTCTTCTCCCCACTCGAGTCTCAACAACAGTCCGAGATCACAGCATTCAATACCATCTCCCAATCCAATGTCGTTCCTCTGAGAAAGCTGAAGCAATGGCCTCGAGCTGTCATATGCCCTGCCTGTCGAGAACTCTCCCTGACCCGAGTTGAGCGCAAAATCTGTGGGGGTACCCAGTAAGTATAAACCTTGAAACAAGATATGCAGATGGAAGCTGACTTAAACTTACCAGTGCCATGGCTGCATTGATGTTTGCATGCACTATCGTTGGGGGACCTCTTGCGTATATCGGGAAGCAGTGGAAGAATACTGAGCATTACTGTTGCAGATGTAACCGCAGACTGGTGACCTGGCACTTTAGCTCTGGGACTGAGATTCATGTTTGGTGAGCGATATTGCTGTATCGAGAATAGATGATTTATTGAGGCCATGTACAGTTGTGTTTAAGTCTTGGAAATAGTTCTATAATGGTTGCTCTTTTTATCCAGAACTCAAATCCCATAGCCTCTTGAACTCGCTCTCCCTCTTCAGTAGCTCCTTCGGGTTGTCCCACTCGATAACCCTTCCTCCTCCCATCACAGCAACTCGGTCGAAGTCCACAACAGCACCCAAACGATGTGCAATAGCGATGACCGTACATCCCTTAAACTCCTCTTGGACCACTTGTCGGATCAGTTGCTCCGACTTGGCGTCGACGTTGCTACTCGCCTCATCAAGAAAAATCATCTTCTTGTTAGCTAGTATCGCTCTTGCAAGGCAAAGGAGTTGCCGTTGACCTTGCGATAGTCGCTCGATATCAAGAATACTGTCCAAGCCTCCAAGCCTCTCTACAGCCTCTTTCATCTTGAGACGATTGAGCACAGCGAGAATCCTATCTTCAGGCTGCTCACCGCGAGGGACCAAATTGTTGCGAACAGTAGTCTTCTTCATGAAGAACGGATGCTGAGGTACGACTGCCACGGAGGCCCGTACAGTTTGTCGTGGAATTGTAGTGATGTCAATGCCGTCAAACTTAATGCTAGAATTGGAGTCAACCTCCAACATCCGGAGAAGACAGGCCATCAATGAGCTTTTGCCACTGCCACTGCGTCCAACGACACCGACCTTGAAGCCTGCAGCGATGTCCAGACTGACTTCGTGCAGCACTGGCTCACCCAAAGTGGTGTATGCAGCTGTCAACTTGTCGATCTGCACGTGGCCATGAGAGGGCCAGCTCTCGGGTGGAGAAACGGCCTCGCCAGGAAGGTTCTCGCTGTCAGTTGTGGTGCAGAACTCTTTTGTACGACTGACAGCACCTAGAGAAGTCTCCAATTGCGTATAATTCTTGATGAGTTGCGTGAGATATTGCGAAAAGGAAGTCACATTGAGAAGGGCCATTGCCACAAACTTCGGCTCGAAACTGTCTCGAAGCTTAACAATGAGAACCATCAAGATCGTAGCCAGCGCTGCAACTGCGAGGTCAAGGACAACAGCTAGCCAGCGCTGAATACTGAAGAGGAGATAGTATGGACGCTGAGATGCGTCGAGGAACTGAAAGTGTTGTTCCCTGAACTGCTTCACCCAGCCGAAGGATCTCACACTGGACAAACCTTGAAGGGTGTCAAGGAATTGTGTGAATAGTGGTGAGTTTGCTTGTAGTTCAAGGATTCGGATCTGGCGAGAAGTTCGAAGGTAAAATCTCTGAAGCACTAGCGCAACTGTCAGTGAATGTTGAAAAGGTGTCAGGAGTGAAACTTACACCAGCAGAAGAAAGCAAGAGGGGGCAGAGTCGCCACAAAATATCCAGAGAACACACACATCAGTATAACAGACATGATGGTGACGCTGGTATCAATGGCCAGGTCAATCAATGCAAATGGAAGCTCGGTGTCTATTACGGACATATCGCGGCTGAAGCGGTTTGTTGTAACGCCGACGTCCATCCTCGAGAAAAATGACAATGGAGCATTCATAACTGTCCGAAGTAGCCGTGCATGCAGAACTTCGCTGCTCAAAGGTACCATGACAACAAGGTAATGCACAGCTGCACCCATGATGCCAATTATTGCAAGCCCAGCTAGCATAGCGTAGAGTCCAAGGTAGAAGTTGTTGACGCTTTGTTGAGTGATAACAGAATGACCAGTCCAGAAACTTAGCAATAGCTCAGTCATCTTGTGGGCCGCACCGAACATGACTGTGAGCGTCACTAACAACAGGACATGCCACTTGGGTACTGTGTTGAAATAGTAACCATAAGTAGCAAGTTCTCCCAGTGCTCGGTTAGCGGATTCAGTCTCTTCTTCTGGCCCTTGAGGTGCTGAAGTTGATCTGTCGTTGGCTTTCGAGGAGCCGCCGTCTTCCTTTGCAGCCCCGTTCTGCCGAAGATGTAAGCCACTGAAGTAATCAGTGTCGTTCTTGAGTTGCTCAAATGTGCCTTGATGCTGGACTGTGCCATGTTCACTTAGAGCAACGACGTGGTCTGCATATGCCAGCCGATGAACTATGGGATGTTAGTATGTTTCACTTCGAGCTGGCGGCAGCTGAACTCACTGGCGTTGGTTACACAAACAACAGTCGTGCCAAGCTCTCTTAGCAACCCTACTTCAGAAAAGATCATCCTGTAAATATGCTCCTCTGTCGAAGCATCTTGTCCCGAAAAGACATCGTCGAGAATAAGCACTCCTGCCTTTGAGTAAATGGCCCTTGCAAGTGCAAGTCTCTGATTCTGGCCACCGCTGAGAGAAACACCGCCGCTGCCCGCTTTCGTGGCGTCCTTGTCGGGCATCTCAACAATGTCCTGCTCGAGTCCACATGCATGGATAACTCTATCATACCAATCTTTGTGATACGTGGATACACCGAGGATGTTCTGTCGAATCGTCAAGTTCTGAATCCAGGGCTTCTGGTCAACAAATGCGATTCGGCGAGCGTCCGTATAGACGAATCCCTGGGACGGCCGCAACTCGCCCAGCAAGGCCTTCATGAGAGTGCTTTTACCAGAACCCACGCTCCCAATAACAAAGGTGAAGTGAGATTTACGGATGGGGAATGAAATGTTAGTGAGGGCTGGTGCTTCAGTCTTTGGCCATCCGAAGCTAGCGTCCGAAACGATCATGAGAGGTTGGCCAATAGCCACTGAAGCCTCGTTGGAGCGATCGAGCAGCTCGATCGAAGCTCTTTCCTGATCAGAAGCGTGTAGCCCGAAAGTACGGACCTCTTGTTGGGATGGGCTATGACGGACATTAAGAGGTAAGCGGTGATCCTTGCAACTATCCGACAACAGAAAGCCCTGCATTCGATCAAAGCATGCAAGCGATGCCTTCATTCCAGGGATCGTTCGTATGAGTGTGGACATAGGGTTGGACAAAAGATAGATAAGCGAAAGAGAAGTATATGCCGAAGCCGTACTCAAAGGGTTGCCTGTCTCTTGAGATATGACCACATAGGTCGCAAACGTAGCGAGCGGAGCTATAGCTTCCATAGTATTTTCTAGAAGGCAAAGTCAGCGGCACATCGTTTTCCAAGCAACTCGTAGACCTACGGAAGAAGACTCGCCAGCACATGAGTTTACGGAACTTCTTGGACAGGTCCAACTCATTGACTCGCAGACTTTGAACCATGTTGTTGAGAACATCCGTCAGGCCAAGCATCTTCACTTCCTGCAATCTTGGTCAGTGACTCAAACCGACCGCCTTTTAAATGAGCTCTTACTTTCATTGACCCTAGCATCGAGGCAGTAACATCAATGCGCGTCTGGATACCACGAACCCACCGCTTTTGGGCGTTTGCGATATACTTGGCTATCATCAAGATACCAGTGGTCGAGACTAATCACATGTTAAAAGTGAACCTATTGTCACTAGAGAGGCCGAACCTATTGCCACAACCATAGGGGCTAGAAATGCCATGCCCAGTTGTCTGTACAGGAGATATAAAGCCACTGCGCACTCAATAGGCGAAACCCACATCTCGTGTATGCTTGCAAAGTTCATGCAGATATTTTCAGTATCGGCAGACATCAGTGTGACAGCAACTGCAAGGTGTTAGTTGTTTATCTTGCCTAAGAGCCCCGTTTTCTTACTTGATTCGTCAAAAGCCGTGATGCTCAGATCGAGGGTCTTGTCATATACCAGACTGATCAAGCTACCCCTGACTGCGGTAACAAATCTAGATAATTAGCCTTGGCTTTTCATTCGGCAGGGCTTTGATCTCACTGGTAAGTCATATGCCAGTAGAATGCCTTAGCGATCTTTACTATGTCAGTCTGGGTACTACAAGAGAAGTAAGCGAGACACAAACCGCCAGTCCAATGGAGACGCAGCACCAGGCTCCCGTGAGGCCCCATCCAATGGCTTTCTCTTCATCAAGGTTACTCGCAAACCCGATTGTTCTCTGGATAAGGAAAGGCTGTGCGTATGTGAAAGCCATCAAACAAAGACGCGATAACATTCCAAGGAGAAAGACTCTTCTAGACGACCAGATGGTGGACCAAAAGAGAGCGTTACTCTTAGCTTGATTCGCTGGGCTGTCTATCAGCTTTACATACCACGGGAATGCATGATGAACTCACCCGTGCGCCATGACTTCTCCACCTGTGCGAACAATCTCTTTCCCAACAGACTGTTCTCGATGGCATACCTGTTATCTCATCAGTTGGGTCATTGACTTGGCAGACGAACAACATACAGATCATGCTCTGTCAGGGAGTTAGAGAATCCTAATTTCATCAGAGGGTTGATCCACCAGAAGACACTACGGCCCAGTATTCCGCTCGTCGTCTCTGGTGATAGATCGCGATACTGAGCTCTTAATATGGACCTTTTTCCCCATGCTTCAGATATGAGAATGAGTGCCTTGGCGGTGGTTGCTGCTGTGAATAACCTCGCAACTGCGTGTGCTCCATCTAGAAGCCATAGCGTTCTGGCTATAGCGCAATCAAAAAGAGCTGTGAAAAGGAGATAGACGTTGATGATTGTTGAGGGTCTCACAGAGCGCGTATGCTCGGCATAAGACAGTAAGGCTAATAAGAGTCCGTTCACAAACACAAGAGCCGCCGCAGCGATTTGAGGTTTAGATGTAGGCAGAGGTCCAACCGTCCAGTATGTCAATATTACGAGTTGTAGTCCGGTATACACAGTTATCAAGCCCTGTTGTATCGTCAGCACTATCTTGAATACAGCCTTCAGGCACAAACCAGTTTAATAAGAAGACGGGAATTCTCAACGGTCTTTCGTGGTTCTCTCTTCAGCCATAGTAGTCTTTGCGGGACGAGAATCAAGAACAAAGCAGAGGGGATAATAGATAGCATAACATTCTCAAACAAGACAGTAAAATCAAATCTTCCCGAGGCTGAAGGACCGAAATCAGCTTCGGGCAGAACGTTTAGTGAAGAATTAGCATCCATAGTGCCCGTGATTGAATTATCTGTACATCTTCGCAGCGGGCCGAGGGAGATTCATTTCACGATCCCATAAATAGGTAACTTGGTTATCTCATGGTGAGGTTCAATGACGAATTTGCCTAAATCAGTTGGTGCTTACGTGGGTGACTACGTTTTCGTGCGTTATTCAACTGCGGGGAAAGAAGTTGATTGGTTGGCCAACCAAGCGATTAGGACAAACTTGCGCCGTCTTACAGGGAGAAGTAGGGAAGGATAGACTGGTTGTTTGTGATGCAGTTCTGAGTTCAGATAGATATTCGATATAACCAATATTTAGACCCAAGGAAATTCGATGTGCTCGATCAATAAGATATGGATCCTGACTATTTGAATTACTCTGACCTACGAATTCTTTTTCTTAGGTCAACCACAATCAAGGAACCAACCTTGGCAAGACCAGCACTACGCTTCGTCACCAAGGCTACGCATACTCTCGATTATGGCGAAGTACTATCTCTCTTGATAGATGCCCGTTGAACTTTGTGTAAGTTAGACGTAAATATGAGCAAATTCCGCTTCTCGGTTTAATTTGGTAGGATAAGAAGCTACCCGCGTCGAGCTGACAAAAGTTCCTCACCACGTACCTGGTTTCGTCACCACCTTACGAAATCTCCACCAAATCACGATAACCCCAATGAGTCAAAAGAGTTTAACTTAACAACAGCCAACGTAAATTTCTTCAAATTCGTAATCTTACAAGCTGGTATATCCTTCAGCCTCGCTTTCTTCTCTTTAAAAAAACACATCTGAGCTCCATAATCGTTATTTTCTAACTTCTTCAACACGTAACTACTTTACTCCTTGACAAGGACAGCTCTGTATCGAACCTTGCCCTCCTTCAAATCGTGCAGAGCCTTCTCAATACCCTTCTCGTTAAGAGGGTAAGTCATAATGGTGGGCTTAATGTTCTTCCTGGCAGCAAAGTCAAGAAGCTTGCGAAGGCTGTCGCGAGAGCTGACCAGAGAGCCCTGGACGCGAATACCCTTGAGAGAGAGCGAGGTCAGGGGAACGGGAGTGGACTCCAGAGCGGCAGTAAGAGGGTATATGACACCATCAGTATCAACAAGAGGAACGAGGCTATATTTGTTAGTTATGACGAATCAAGTGCTGGTGCGTTGTCCATACCTGCTGTAGTCGACATTTCCGCTGCCGCAGAGAAGCAAGTGCTTAACGGGCTTGAAGTCTTTAGGGGCCTCGTCTCCAGACTTGAAGACAATAAACTCAGAGGCACCATAGTCCAGAGCCTCCTGTCTTTTGGACTCGGAGGAAGAGAAGACAACAACATGGGCTCCCTTGGCGGCAGCGAGCTTGATGGCAAGATGGCCCAGACCACCAATACCCATAACACCGACTCTATCTTGAGAACGGAGACCGTACTTAGTCAAGACTGTGTAGACAGTGGCTCCCGCGCAAAGAAGAGGGGCGGCATCAGCGGAATCGTATCCATCGGGAATGGGAGCAACAGTCTTGGAGTCCCAGACAGCGCCGTAGGAGAAAGAGCCGTTATCAGTGTCAGAGAAACCATAGATCTGACGCTCACGACAGTACTGGTCAAGGTCTGTAGCATGGTCAGTGTTGTTATTTCCTAAAACTCTGCGGCTTCTTACCTGTACAGCAGTTATCACAAGAGCCGCAGATCTGATGTGTGTATCCGAATCCAACTCTGTCGCCAACCTTGACGTTCTTCACTGAAGACCCAACCTCACGAATAACTCCAACACCTTCGTGTCCCAGAACAATTCCACTGGGCTGGTAGAGCTTATCCGTTCCACAAACACCAGAGTGGGTTGTCTCAATGAAGACCTCGTGGTTCTGGAGCTCACGCTCGACGGTGTCAGAGACAATCTTTCCCTCGGGGGTTCCTCGGAAGACCTTGTAAGAGACCATTATTGCGACGTTGTGTATGGAGGGATGTAGAGATATAGAGATACGGTTTTGTGTAAAGATGGGGTATATGGCTCGACTCGAAGGGGGCTTCTGGGCTGGGCTTTATATAGAAAAAGGTTGGCGATAGCTACGGTTACATAGGGCTATCGGACCGGGCGGAGCAGTCTTCCTCATCGAGTTGACCGACCACGCAAAGCACGGATTGTGGGTTTGACTTTGGAATGAGCCTGAAGAAAGAGACCGAAGTGGGGATGTGAAAGCTTCTTTTTGCCTTGATATCGGGGTTAGCGAAGAGTCCGTCATCATGGACATTTTCGCATTCCAAGTTTTGCATGTTCTGGGGTGGTTATTTCCGGCGAGACTAATCTAGCATCTCCTCTAACAATCAGCTTCTGCTTCTTCTCTTCTGTTGCACATTCGTTATGTTGACAACGGTAATGCTTCTTCACCGACAAGTCGCTAAACAAGTCCCCTTGCTGTTGATACCTACTTCGGAAACATCGTTATCTTTATCCGTCCTGACCGTTTGTTTCAGGTCCTCGGATCATTCACGTAACTTGCCCCCAGCTTTGTAATCTCAAAATAAAATTCAACCGTTGAAAATGGATTCTCGGACCGCTCTCGGTGGGTACGGACCCGGTGAAGAGTGGATCATGGCGGAGCCGCTTGCCTCGGCACGGAAGTATTTTCCACGTGTACTAACAAGATCCATGACGATATTGTTTCTAGAATTCCTGATAGAAGTTGCGGGCAAAGAAATCTTTTGCTCCGATCGGCAGCCATGATGTCATGCGGTGAGATCCTCAGGGTCTTCAATCCTTCGCCTTTCTCGTCAATCTGAGTTAGGATAGATTTGCTATATTGTCTAAAGTTTTGCATTGAATCATGTCGATTTCAATTTGGCTACGCACGAGGCCTAGATCAGTAGTGGGAATTAGTGCCGGATATGCACCACTAGTAGTTAGTCTCCGAAGCTTTGTTCAGGAGTGACGATAAGTTACGATAGACATAGATATCAGGCCATATCTTGAACGATTCTGGTGCCAGAGGTAGTTTGAACGAGACGGGCCATATTCATCCGACATCTGGGGACAGAATGCCACATCTAACTAACTCTTTATCATGAGACTTGTCGAGATTGTTTGAATTTTCTGGTTAACTTGATACTCATCGACTTTTTAACAAAGCACACCCAGCCCCCTGATATCGGCAACGTTCAAAATTGTTGCGTTGTCAGGCGATGGTGCTGACGAACAAGGCGTATGATGCAAGCATTAGCTGTCAGGTCTGTCAACTTAAAACATCACTCTTGGTTTACACAGTTATCCCCGAGTTGGCAGCTCTATTAAGCAATATACCTTCCGTTGCCCGCTTATGTCCTCCCATTCGCCTGCCCGAAGGTAGGAAAGTAGATATCTACGAGATAGTCGGACGGTATATTTCGTTCATCTCTCCAGAAATACATAAAAGCGAAGTCTCCTCCTTGCTTCTTTCGACTCATCGGTGAGTTCTCTGGAAGTACGTGTTCATTGTGAAGCTTTGTGTCTGAGACTCAGTCTATCGATGCCTAACATGTTCAGTTACCCTTCATGGTAATAGGCTCAGTCGATATTGTGTTGCTACTCGCCACGGCTGCTTTCATCCGATGAAGACAGTGGTAGATAGTAGAGACTCCAAACAGAAGTCTTGTATAGTGTTTAATTCACAGTGAAAGCGTCCAGGAATGGCCTTTTGCCAGAATTATATTAGCCTCATTCCGGCTCATTCGAAGAGTCCCTGCAGCAAGAGATAGGATCTTGTGGACCCTGGGGCACCTCTATGAACTTCCTCCACGGCTTCGAAAGCCCATTATATCCGACTACTAGATGTAAATGGTGGCAAGGTAAGCTCGAGAATCTTCACTTTCCCAAAAGCAACTGTATTCAACTGCTCCTTTCGTGGCGTTTAACATGTTACCTCCGAGCAGTACACTTAAGAACTTACGGTAACAACAACGTTATGAAGTCACCGCTCAACTATGTTAAGATATATTATAAGGGGGTCAATGGCAGACAGTCTACGTGTACAATGCGAGGCTGACTTGGGCGATTCTTCTATCTCCCCGATCTTTCGTCACCTTGGAAACTTCACTTAGTGGTGATCTGTCCTTGAAAGTAACATTGTGCCGTTCAACGTAAGCGGTCGATAACTCGAGGCTCCCATGCACGCCACGTACCAAATCCATAATAGCAGTGATCTTATCGCTCAAGTGGCCAGTTCCCGGGTCTTACAAGCATGGTAACGTATCTCACTCAAGTGGAGAAGTTGAACACTATTTAACCTTGGATTGGTTTCGTGTTTGTCTGTGGTAATGATCACACCACCTTCGTCCACGGTCGTGTTAGTGCCGGCACATGACATCAAAGACTTATAACCGAGATCTGACAGCAAGCATGGAGGGCAGATATCAAAAGGTTTTGATCACACCGTGTACATATTAGGATTCTAGGGGTCGTCAGGCTACTCAGTATATTCTCAAGCTCTTCACTGTTTTCGGCAGTCACGAGCTCAAGGCATGCATGCAAAAGTGATAGGTCATTGTCATTCATAAGCCATGGACAACTTCACCATCGGCATCTTCCCCCACGCAGAAACTAGAACTAGACCAACATCAAAACTCAATCGGGTATAGACACATCGCCTAACAACCTCTATGGCGGTGTGATTCCAACACATGACAAATCTTTTACCATATCAAAACTCCATGAAACACCGTGATACCCAGACACACAACAATATGTAATAATAGCCAATTTAGTGCTGCTTTAACTCAGCGGCGGAAACGGCAGCGTCGACGGCCTCCTGCAAATCGAGATGGAAGAAAGGTCGGTTGAGACCCTGTACTGCAATGAGACGAGCGCTGGTTGGGTCTCTTGAGACACCCTTCTCGGAGCCAATGCTGTTGATAGAGTCGTCGACAGCCTCTATATCCTGCTTGATGGGAGCACTCTTGGCCTTCTCATCGAGAGCAGCAGCAGTAGCAGCGCTGTCGTCACCGCCAAGGTCGGCAATGGAGAAGATAGCCTTCCAATGTCCAG